AACTGTACAGTGTATAATATGTATAAAGATTATAGTGAACGTCAACTGTACAGTGTATAATATGTATAAAGATTATGTGAACGTCAACTGTACAGTGTATAATATGTATAAAGATTATGTGAACGTCAACTGTACAGTGTATAATATACATAAAGATTATGTGAACGTCAGCTGTACAGTGTATAATATATATAAAGATTATGTGAACGTCAGCGTTACAGTGTACAATAGATAAAAAGATTACGTGAACGTCAGCTGTACAGTATATAATAGATATAAAGATTATGTGAACGTCAGCTTTACAGTGTATAATAGATAAAAAGATTATGTGAACGTCAGCTGTACAGTAAAGTTACATTGGTTTTAACCCATTCTTACCTAAGATCTTTTCTTGTTCGATTCTACCATATTAAACAAGTTACATTATGTTAAAAAATTTTCAATTTATTTTTAACCGTCAGATTTATCATTTTCTTTACATTGTATTAGCTTTGTCATGAGATTTTGTGTTAAAAAGGCCTATTTAATCAAAATTTAGTTTGTGAGTTTGTTGATATCTGTGATTATGTTAATAACATCTCTTAAATCGCTGAAGATGAAATCAAAGACCTCGTGGATCAGCTTGGCGAGGGCGGTAGAAACGTGCACGAGTTAGAAAAGGCAAGAAAGAGACTAGAAATGGAGAAAGAGGAACTCCAGGCAGCTCTAGAAGAGGCAGAGGCTGCTCTGGAGCAGGAAGAAAATAAGGTTCTCAGAGCCCAGCTGGAGCTGTCTCAAGTACGCCAGGAGATCGACCGAAGGATTCAGGAGAAGGAGGAAGATTTCGAAAACACTAGGTAACTAAATAAGGTTGTTTTAAAGAGTTTGAAAACACCAGGTAACTAAATAAGGTTGTTTTAAAGAGTTTGAAAACACCAGGTAACTAAATAAGGTTGTTTTAAAAAGTTTGAAAACACCAGGTAACTAAATAAGGTTGTTTTAAATAGTTCGAAAACACCAGGTAACTAAATAAGGTTGTTTTAAAAAGTTTGAAAACACCAGGTGACTAAATAAGGTTGTTTTAAAAAGTTTGAAAACACCAGGTAACTAAATAAGGTTGTTTCAACAAATACTGTCACGTTTTACTTCCTAACATAATTACATCTTAATGAACAGATGACTCACTTAGTTGTGAATGAAATTGGTCAAATATATCTACGGCTTAAATGAATTTCTTTTTCTTTGAAATCACCTTCAGGAAAAACCACCAACGAGCTATTGATTCAATGCAAGCTAGTCTCGAGGCCGAAGCTAGAGGAAAGGCTGAAGCTCTAAGGATGAAAAAGAAACTTGAGAGTGACATCAATGAACTGGAGATCGCGCTGGACCATGCCAACAAGGCCAACGCAGAGGCCCAGAAGAACATCAAGAGATATCAACAGACTCTCAAGGAACTCCAACAGGCAGTAGAGGAAGAACAGCGAGCCCGGGATGAAATAAGAGAACAACACGCGATGGCCGAGAGACGTTGTCACGCCTTACAAGGGGAGTTAGATGAAACCAGGCAACTACTTGAGCAAGTGAGTCATTTTTATATATATAATACATCGTGCAGTTGACGTTCACATAATCTTTATATATATTGTACACTGTACAGTTGACGTTCACATAATCTTTATATGTATTATACACTGTAGAGTTGACGTTCACATAATCTTTATATGTATTATACACTGTAGAGTTGACGTTCACATAATCTTTATATGTATTGTACACTGTACAGTTGACGTTCACATAATCTTTATGTATATTATAGTTTAATATGGTAGAATCGAACAAGAAAAGAT